CACCAGACAGGCACATAATAATGGGCAAACCACTGAACTCTGTTGCTTTTACAGTTCCCGTATCTGTTATCTCCAATCCTGTCCAAGAATCCCCAAAACCAAACACCCAGTTTTTGGCCCAGATAGACTCAGAGGTAAAGTCTCTGCCACAGGATAGCCTTTCTGCAGCTGCTTGCTTTTAAACAGCTAATCCCCTCTTCCTGCTTGAGGATGCTCAGACTCCCATCCTGGACCCTAATAAAGGCAAATGTCTCAGGTCAATACTTTCTTTCTCCCTCCACATGCTCCCTGACCTCTGTGTATGGCCTCTGGATTTTAGGCATACCCTCTAGGACTTCTAAGTAACAAAACCTTTATTTCCATCTTGTGTCTCTCCTAACCATTGAAGGAGTGCTCTCCATTTTCAAAGATCCCAAAGTAGAATGTATACAAAATTGATACATAAAAAATGTGTAGCATTGCTATATAATACCAATGAACCATATGAAAAAGAAATCAAGAAAACAACTTCATTTCCAATAGCTAAAAAAATAGTTAGGATTAAATCTAATAAAGGAGGATTGATGAAACAAATTGAAAATGACACAAATAAATAGAAAGATATTCCATTCTCATGAATTGGAAGAGTTGATATTGTTAAAATGTCCATATTACCCAACATGATCCACAGATTCAATGACATCACTATTAAAATTCCAATGAAATTTTTAAAATAGAAAAAAATCTAAAATTCATATAGAATCACACACAAAAATATAGCCAAAAGCAATCTTGACCAAAAAGAACAAATCTAGAAACATCATGCTACTCAATTTCACACTGTATTACAAGGCTATCGTAATTAAAACCGCATGATTTTGGTATGAAAACTAACACATTAACCAACAAAAAAGAGCTCTGAAATGAACCTACACATTTATGGTCAACTGAGTTTTTTAAAATTTTTTTATTTATTTGAGAGACAGACAGGTAGGCAGAAAGCTCCCATCTTCTGGTTCACTATCAAAATGCCTGCAACATCTGGGGCAGAGCTAGGCCAAAGCCAGGAATCCAGAACTCAATCTGGATTTCCCATGTGGGTGGTAGGAACTCAACTACTTGAGCCATCACCTGCTGCCTCACAGAGTGTGCATTAGCAGGAAGCTGGAGTCAGCAGCAGAGCCAGGACTACAACCAAGGCACTCCGATGGGGAACATGGACATCTTAACTGCTGGGTCAGATTCCCACCCCCAATCAATTAATGTTGACAAGGATTCCAAGAACACAGAATGAGAAAAAGTCAGAGTAATCAATGGAGGATGTTGGGAAAACTGGATATCCACATGCAGAAGAATGAAATTGTGAATGGCATTGCTAACCATCAGGCATGATAAAGGTTAATGGGATGTTGCTACTTTCCATCTCTTACCTGGGGTGTTCCTAATAAACAACAGGATCCCCACAAAAGAAAAAAACACACACTTGGCCAAACTTCATTCACAGCACTGGATAGTCAGGTCAACAAATGATCCCAAAGAAAACATTCTTCTAATTGGTTTTGGTCACTTAGAAAAATAGTGAAATCTCTAACTGGTCATTTAAAGCTATGTCCAAGGGGTGGGAGTTGTAGCAATAGTGGGTTAAGCTGCTACTTTGGATGCCTGTATCCCATACTGGAGTGCCTAGGTTGAGTCCAGCTCCTCTGCTTCCTATCCAGCTTCCTGGTAATGTGCCTGGGAGACAGCAGATACTGGCTCAAGTACCTGGGCCCTTGCCACCCATGTGGGAGACCTGGATAGAATTCCAGGCCCCTGGCCCAGTCCTAGCTGTTGAGGGCTTTGGGTGAGTGAACCAGTAGATGGAACATCTCTCTTTCTTTCTCTCTCTGCCTTTCAAATAACTAAATTAATCTTAAAACAAATGGTCTCCTCTACATGTTTACTATAATACTACATCATGCATGCTCAACCAGCAGGTAGAGAGAGAGAGAATGAATACTCTGGGCCAATACCTTTATTGGACATTACCTAAGGAAGTTTCCTGGGGAAAATTTTAATGATGGGTTTAAAACAAGCAGGCATACCTTCCGTGGGATCATGTTGTGACAGGGTTACTCACTGCAGCTTATCTACACCATCCGTGTGGGGTATGGGGTTCAGTTATACATAGCGGCCCCATAGGGAAGTGGTCATTAGGATGCACCAAACTGAAGAACATGGAGAAGGGGTAAAACTGGAAATGGTATCAAGGCTGAGTAAAGCCTGCTTTTGATATAATAAAGTTAAACTTATATTCAAAACAGAAAAGCTGGATGCTCCCTCCCAATCCTAACCAGAGCAAGGCGTATTCGTGGCTTTTGTAAGATCAAGCAATTTAAAAGTGAACAACTTTTCATGCTCTATGCTTCTCTAAGAAAAAACAAAAAACACAAATGTTCATGGGGCCGGCGCTGTGGCGCAGCAGGTTAAAGCCCTGGCCCGAAGCACAGGCATCCCATATGGGCGCGCCGGTTCTAGTCCTGGCTACTCCTCTTCCCATCCAGCTCTCTGCTATGGCCTGGGAAAGCAGTAGAAGATGGTCCAAGTCCTTGGGCCCCTGTACCCACTTGGGAGACCAGGAAGAAGCTCCTGGCTCCTGGCTTTGGATTGGCACAGCTCCGGCCGTTGCGGCTATCTGGAAAGTGAACCAGCAGATGGAAGATCTCTCTGTCTCTACCTTTCTCTGTAACTCTGTCTTTCAAATAAATGAAATAAATCTTTAAAACAAAACACAAGTGTTCATCACCTTAGCAAAGCACATGTGAAATTCAGCTCAGAAGATAAATTCATTGAGTGGCATATGGGCAGGAGGACAGACACTTGTCCTTAAGTGAATAAAAAGGGAGTGTATTCTCAGTACTATGCTTAATTAGAACAAAGACCAGAAAGTCTATCCAGAGAATGAAAGTCAATGAAGTACTGTAGCAAGGAAATAGGATGTGTTCTTACTACAAAGTATACCACAAAGCTACAGCAACTGAACAGTCAACATATATGACATTCATTCAGAAGATCTTTTACCAGGTCTAAATACTTTATAGGTAAACCAAATCAAACAAAAATAATGGAATTGCCTTTCTACTTTCATTTATTTTTTATTTTTAAATTTTTGTTTAATGAATGCATTTTAACATAGATAGAACTTTAGGAATATAGTGGTTCTTTTCCCTATACCTCCCCTGCTCTCATCCCACCTCCCATTCCCTCTCCCATCTCCTTCTTCATTACTACTTTCATTGCTTTATACACATGGATGAGTCATTTGCCCATATGGTAGCCTGGATAAATATATTTTACTTTAGAAAGCTAGTTTCTAGTTAATGGGGGCATTGTCAATCTTTAAAATAAGTTAAAAAGAAAACACAAAACATTATGGGGCCAGCACTGTGGTGTAGTAGGTTAAGCCACTGCATGTGATGCCAGCATCCGATATTGGAGAGTCAGTTTCAGGCCCAGCTGCTCTGCTTCTGATCCAGCTTCCTGCTGATGAACCTGGGAAAGCAACAGATTATGGCCCAAGTATTTGCTGTCACCCATATGGGAGACCCAGATGGAATTCCTGGTTTCTTTCTTTCTTTCTTTCTTTTCTTTTCTTTTTTTTTTTTTGACAGGCAGAGTGGACAGTGAGAGAGAGAGACAGAGAGAAAGGTCTTCCTTTGCCGTTGGTTCACCCTCCAATGGCCGCCGCGGCCGGCACACTGCGGCCAGTGCACCGCGCTGATCCGATGGCAGGAGCCAGGAGCCAGGTGCTTTTCCTGGTCTCCCATGGGGTGCAGGGCCCAAGCACCTGGGCCATCCTCCACTGCACTCCCTGGCCACAGCAGAGGGCTGGCCTGGAAGAGGGGCTACCGGGACAGAATCCGGTGCCCCGACCGGGACTAGAACCTGGTGTGCTGGCGCCGCTAGGCGGAGGATTAGCCTAGTGAGCCGTGGCACTGGCCGGAATTCCTGGTTTCTAGCTTTGGCCTGGCCCAGCCCTGGCCATTGTGGTCATTGGAGAGTGAACCAGTAGATGGAAGATCTCTCTGTCTCTTCCCCCCTCTCTCTCTCGCTCTCGCTCTCTTTCTCTGTCATTCTGCCTTTCATACAAATAAATAAATAAATCTTTTTTGGAAAAATCCCAACTTCTAATTTTAAAAAATATTTAAAAGTTAAAAACACATTATCTGATGATAAGTAAAATAATTCTCAGGAAAGTGGCATTTTCATGTAGCATATCAAAAACTATTAGGTTTTGGTAATAGTTTGTGGTAATTTATAGGGTAGCCCCAGGAAACTAGTATTATTATCTTTAATAATTTTATGAATTCCATTCTGTCTTCTATATGAATTTCATATTCTCAATGGGATTTCCAGTTATTGAGACACTATAATGAGAGAGGAAGATAAGACAATGAGTTTTTGACAAAGGGAATAAAAACATTAGCAGGATATTTTCAAACATTATGGCACTATGTATACACAGCTATTATTCACACTTGAAGTGTGAATAGCAGTTATTCACACTTGAAGATCACCAAAGGCTAGAAGATGCCATGAACTCTAGTCAAAGTTTTGCCTTTGACCAACTAATTATGTTTTGGAAAAAAAAATTAATTTCACTGTTCTTTCTTTTTTAAATTTTTCTTATTTATTTTTATTTGAAAAATAGAAAGAGAAAAATCTTGCAGCTGTTGGTTCACTCCACAAATGCTGACAAACAAGCCAAGGTTAGGCCAGGCTGATGCCAGGAGCCTAGAACTCAATCTGAGACTCCAACATGGGTGGCCATGACTCAAGTACTTGGGTCATCATCTGCTGCCACCTGGGGTGTACATTAATAGGAAGCTGATCTGGAAGTAGAAGAGTTGGAAAGAATTAGACTATTTGGGATGCAGGTACCTCAAGCAGTGACTCAACCGCTACACCAAATACCCAACCCTGACCAAGCGATTCTCATCACGGAGAATCAAGTCATGCAGTTTAAGAATAAATACATGGAGTTCAGATTTACACATTTATTTGTGCTTCATTTCAGAAGTTAAGGAAAGTTATTAACCCGGAGTAGAAGATCCCCCAATAAAAGTAGTGGTAGAAGCGCTGATCCTGGAACAAAGGTAATAATGGTAATGATGATTCATAACTTATTCCAGGGAAAGTTGGGGGGAAGAAGAGGAAGTCTTCCAGGTAAAGGTAGTGCTGGTAGAGATGGTAGTGGGGATGGCCCTCTCTCTGCCTTTGAACAGAGTGCAGGGAATGCTGGAACTCATGATCAAACTGCGGATTCATGTTCCTGTAATAGAAATAATCAAATGCTTAAATTATTAAAATAAAATATGCAGCACAAAATACTGTACACACTAGCTTTGGGAATCAATTAAATAAATGAAGACTTTAGAAAGTAAATATGGTTACGATTATAAATCTTATTTGTTAATCTGACTGGGCTATGGAATGCCCAGATATTTGTTTTGTAATGAATATGTGTGATGTATAGGCTGGGGTGCATCTGTACACATATATATCTCAAACATCTTTGTTTCTTCCCTCTTTCATCCTCTTATCATGTAACATAAGATGTGCGGACTTTATATCATGGTATTTCAGTATTAATTTTACATCATAGTATTTAAGTTATGGGATATCAAGAAGAGCAAAGATGTCCCAAGGACTTTACTTCTTCTTCTCTAGAAGAGGTCAGTGGTTTTCAGTTATGCACAGAATAGTTGTATCAAGTTAGGCAGAATTATGACTTTTTAAAATCATCTTTACATAGAAATTAAGTGCGGTTTAAAGAGATATAGGTACGGGGTGCCAAGTTGACAACGGGTGGACTTGTGATGCTTGATTTTATGTCAACCTGACTGGGCCATATAATGCCTCATCTCAATACTTTGTTCAGCATTATTCTGGGTCTTTCTATGAGGGTGCTTTTGGAGGAGATGGACACTTAAATTGTTATATTGAGTAAAGCAGACTGTACTCCATAATGTGAGTGGACCTCATCCAATCAGTTGAAGTCCTTAATAGAACAAAAAGGCTGACTCTCCCCTTAGTAAGAGAGAATTCTTCCAGACTGACTGCCTTCAAACTTGGACATAAGTTTCTCCCAATGCCTCTGCACTTGATCTGAAACAGTAGCTTGTGTTATATATGTGTGTGTGTGTAGATATATATACACACATACATATATATGTAGATATACAAATATATAAATATATACATATATACACACATAAATATATGCATATATAAATACAATATATAATGTATTTATATATATATATATTTGTATATATGTTCTGTTTCTCTAGAGAGCCTGACAAATACAAAGGCAGACTCAAATTCTTCAAATGGTCACAAGTTTTCCTCTAAAAAACTTTTGCTTGTATAATACAAGGGTACTTCAAAACATCTGTGGAAAGTGGAATTAGTTAAAAGATAGTTATTTGGTGCGAAATTTTTTGAAATCCATACATAGGTTTTCATTATGTACATTTCCATGAACTTTTTGAACATCCTCTGTATATATAAACACAAAATTGTTTTAAACCAAAATAAAAACATATTCTTTCCATTTTTCCATGAACTTTTTGAGGTACCCTTGTATATTCTGACATAAGACATTTGGGGTAGTTTAAGGGATTAATGCTTGAGTTTCTTCCCCACCTGGAAGTGATTTGTCCTGTAAAATCAAATTTGCAGAGTTGTTTAAGATGTGAATTTGTCATAAAGTCTGTTTCTGGTCATATTTCCCTTCAATCTAACAAGATAATTTTCTACCATAGAACCCACTGTTATATGACACGAATTATATCTCATTTCATTACCTTGATTCAGTACTCCTACACCTCTTTCTCAAGCTATTTGACTTTTTCTTTCCTTTCTTACGTCTTCGCTTGTTCTCAGAATTCTTCATTTACCTGCAAGGATTACCACCATAAATTTACACTGAAGGAAATACTGTTAAGAAATCTCTCAATTATATTATATATGAAACAAATAAAATATTTTGGTTCCTTGAATCTCAGGCCACCCATTATGACCATTTTCCTTTTTAAAAAATGGTTATTTATTCAATTTTATTTATTTGAAATGCAGAGCAACAGAGAGAGAGAGAGAGAAAGAGAGAAAGAGAAATCTGGTTCACTCTCCAAATGCCTATAACTGTCCGTACTGGACCAGGCTGAAGCCAGGAATCCAGAATTCAATCTGGGTCTCCCACATGGGTGGCAGTGACCCAAGTACTTCAGTCATCACCTGCTGCCTCCCAGGGTGTGTATTAGCAGAAAATTGGAATCACAGGCTGGCGTTGTGTTGCAGCACGTTAAGCCATTGCCTGCAATGCCAGCATCCCATATAGGCACCAATTTGAGTCCCAGCTGCTCCACTTCTAATCCAACTCCTTGCTAATACATCTGGGAAAGCAGCAGAAGATAGAGCAAGTGCCTGGGCACCTGCCACTCATGTGAGAGACCAGGATAGAGTTCCAGGTTCTTGGCTTCTGCCTGGCCCAGCCTCTGCTGTCGCAACCATTTAGGAAATAAACCAGTGGATGGAAGATATTCTCTCTCTCTCTCTCTCTAACATTGACTTTCAAATAAACAAATAAATATTTAAAAAGCAAGCAAGCAAGATGGACTCAAAAGTAAAGAAGGGACAAAAATTCAGGCACTGTAATATGGGATGTAGGTGTTCTGAGTGACATATTAACTGCTATGCCAAATGCTCACCCCCAGAGATTAATGCAAAACATCATTTTTATACAAAACAAATTTCATACAAACACTTTCTGCTCTAGCTCTTATAATCTATTCTAGTAAGAGGAAGAGCTGAGATATTTCTTTAGAAACCCTAAGTAACTTACATGAAGTTGTGAAATTTTTGGAGTAATAAGAAAAATGGTCACCTAGTTTCTAAGAAAGGTCAATATAGGTGTAAATAACATGGAAATGTTTAAATAGCTTGATTAGTTCAGTCATTTATGTAACTAACAGCATGAAAAGAACAGGCAATTTCAAATTTCACCAACCCTCCATGAAGTAGGGGTATCACATTAAAACTGAGAAGAAAATTCAAAGAAGCTAATTGAGCTCACCCAAAACAGAGAGCATAGGGATTACTATGTTATTTGTTGCCACCAACAAGACAGACTTTAGAGGCTACAGCAGATAGAGGTGGTAACCTTCTTGAGGCTTTCCCAAGGATCTACGCATTATCAGGAAATGAAAACTGAAGAAAGACAGTGAGGATTTAGGGGCCGGCGCTGTGGCGCAGTGGGTTAAAACCCCTAACTTAAAAAAAAAAAAAAAAAAAGGCAGTGGGGATTTGTTAAGGTTTGATTGCTTCTATCTATACCTTTCAACAATCTGATTTTCTTTCATAGCCTTTACCATTTTAATATAATAAAGCTAGTGCTTTTCATCCAAATCTGTTGAAAATGATGCAGGAAGAAATAATAGATGGTAGTAACCCTATTCTATTAGGAAAAACAAATTCTTTGGTGGTTATGTTTTGGGTCCAGAAATATAAAATAGTGTATAACTGAAGCAATATTTAAAAGGTCTTTCAAAGAGAAAGATGATGCGATTCAATTGACAAATAAAACAATTATATCTAATAATAGCCTTACCTTTTTTTGAAAAGTCTCTTTTTTTGTTTACTTCTTTCAACTTTGGTTTAGTCCACACAGGAATCTATTAAGACTGAAAAAGAGTAATTAATATCATCACATAGATACTTCATGCATAAGGTATTTGCCAGACTATAAATATACCATGTGAACTATCATTTTTTAAACATTTGATTTAAGCCCCATTGTTTTTTGCTTTTTTTTAAGATTTATTTATTTATTTGAAAGTCATAGTTACACACAGAGAGAAGGAGAAGCAGAGAGAGGCAGAGAGAGAGAGAGAGAGAGAGAGAGAGGAAGAGAGAGGTCTTCCATCCGATGGTTCACTCCCCAATTGGCTGCAACCGTTGGAGCTGCACCAATCCGAAGCCAGGAGCCAGGAGACTCCTCTGGGTCTCCCACACAGGTGCAGGGGCCCAAGCACTTGGACCACCATCTTCTAGTGCTTTTCCAGGCCACAGCAGAGAGCTGGATTGGAAGTGGAACAGCTAGAACCAGCGACCATATGGGATGCTGGCACTGCAGGTGGCGGCTTTACCCGCTAGGCCAAAGCGCTGGCCCCTATCATGTCTTTTTTTTTTTTTAAGATTTATTTATTTATTTGAAAGAATTACACAGAGAGGCCGGCGCTGCGGCTCACTAGGTTAATCCTTCACCTGCGGCGCCAGCACCCTAGGTTCTAGTCCCGGTTGGGGTGCTGGATTCTGTCCCGGTTGCTCCTCTTCCAGTCCAGCTCTCTGCTGTGGCCCGGGAAGGCAGTGGAGGATGGCCCAAGTGCTTGGGCCCTGCACCCGCATGGGAGACCAGGAGGAAGCACCTGGCTCCTGGCTTCGGATCGGCGCAGCTCCAGCAATTGCGGCCATTTGGGGAGTGAACCAACAGAAAAGGAAGACCTTTATCTCTGTCTCTCGCACTCTCTCACTGTCTAACTCTGCCTGGAAAAAAAAAAAAAAAGAATTACACAGAAAGAGGAGAGGCGGAGAGAGAGAGCTCTTCCATCCGATGGTTCACTCCCCAATTGGCCGCAAGGGCCGGAGCTGTGCTGATCTGAAGCCAGGAGCCAGGTGCTTCCTCCTGGTCTCCCATGCGGGTGCAGGGGCCCAAGCACTTGGGCCATCTTCTACTTTCCCAGGCCATAGCAGAGAGCTGAATCAGAAGTAGAGCAGCCAGGTCTCGAACCGGTGCCCATATGGGATACAGGCACTTCAGGCCAGGGCGTTAACCCACTGTGCCACAGCGCTGGCCCCTCTATCACCTCTTTTCTCAAGATTTATTTATTTGTGGGGCAGGTGCTGTGGCTTAGCAAGTAAAGCCGCCACCTGCAGTGCTGGCATCCCATACATGCTCCAGTTCGAGTCTTGGCTGCTCCACTTAAGATCCAGCTCTCTGCTATTCCTCTCTATATATAACTGTGACTTTCAAATAAATAAATAAATAAATCTATCTCTCTTTCAAGAAAAAAAGATTTATTTATTTGAAAGGAGGCAGAGCAGGGGCCAGCGCTGTGGCATAGTGGGTAAAGCAGCCGCCTGCAGTGCCGGCATCCCATGTGGGCGCCAATTCAAGTCCCAGCTGCTCTGCTTCCAATCCAGCTCTCTGCTATGGCCTGGGAAAGCAGTGGAAGATGGCCCAAGTCCTTGGGCCCCTGCACCCGTGTGGGAGACCAATAAGAAGCTCCTGGCTCCTGGCTTCAGATAGGTGTAACTCTGGCCATTGTGGCCAACTGGGGAGTGAACCAGCAGATGGAAGACCTTTCTTTCTCTCTCTCTCTCTCTCTCTCTCTCTCTCTCTCCCTCTACCTCTCCTTCTCTCTCTGTGTAACTCTGACTTTTAAGTAAATAAATAAATAAATCTTTAAAAGACACACACACACACACAAAAGAAAGGCAGAGCAGTGGGGGAGGGGGAGATATCTTCCATGCACTGGTTCACTCCAATATGGAAGGCTAGTATTGTAATCAGCACCTTAACCCAGTGTACTACAATGCCGACTCCACTATCATTTCTTTTATTGTGGTAAAATACAGGTGAAATGTAGCATTTTTGCATTTTTGTGCCCTCTGATACTAAAGAGAAATTGACCTATATCACATATAAAACATAAGCTACCACATATTGTATACCTACTAACTTACTATCTTCAGCACTAGGATTGTCAAGACCTATAGCCAAGCATACATAGTTTTACTTTATTCCAATTTTAAAAAGATTCCAAATATTTCTCAACTTTTGACTCTAGAATATTTTCAACTTCTTTCATACTTTGTATGTGTGGCACAGTGGCTTAAGCTGCTTCTTGGGTTCACAGCATTCTGTATCAGGGTGCCAGTGATTCAGGTCCCTACCTCTACACTTCTGATTTAGCTTCCTGCTAATGCCCCCTGTGAAGGCAGCAGAACATGGCTCAAATTCTTCCATTCACTCCCCAAATGCTAGAGACCTGGGAATTCAAGCCAGGTCTCCCATGTGGGTGGTAGAGACTCAAACCATTTGAGTTTCTCAATCATGCTTCTCAGGGTACAACACATTAGCAGGAAGCTGGAGTCAGGAGCTAGAGGCAGATATTGAACCCAGGCACTCTAATATGGTATGTGGCTGTTCCAAGTAGTGTCTTAACTTGCACGCTTAATGCCTGCCCCATATTTACATTTGTAAAAAGATTTCCACATCATTCACCACTTCACAGAAAGGTATTTGACCATAACATTTTAAGAACCATTCATTTGGGGCTGGCTGCGTGGCATAGTAGGTAAAGCTGCTGCCTGTGGTGCCCCAACCCTTAATGGGCACCAGTTTGTGCCCTGGACGCTCCAGTTCCAGTCCAGTTCCCTGATAATGGCCTGGGAAAAATAGTGAAAGATGGCCCAAGTACTTGGTTCCATGCCACACAAGTAGGGGACCTGGAAGAAGCCCCTGGCTCCTGGCCTCAGCTTGGCCCAGCCCCAGAAATTGCAGCCATCTGGGAAGTGAACCAGCAGATGGACGATCTCTCTCTCTCTCTCTCTGAAGCTCTTTCAAATAAATAAATAAGTCTTTGAAACAAACAAAAAAAACCCACTCATGTATTTCAACCCTTCTTTTAGCTGAGGAAATTGAAACTGAGAGAAAGAAAATGATTGGCTTACTGTCAGAGATTCACACTGATGAGGTCACAAAGGTTTATGATGCTGCCCATCTTCTCACCTGGTCCCTACCTCTACCTGTCTCCAATGCTTTTGATTAACAGAACGTAATCAAAAGGATATGGTACAAAGCACAAGAAGCTGGTGTGTATTGAAAGCTGAGCCAGATGAGCCAAGAGACCAGGAGAGGGTGTGTGCCAACTATGTGACCCATAAGAGTTTAAATATATACAAACATTTCCAAATAATATCTTATGATGGTTTAAACAAGCTTGCATGGCCTTCTAAATCCCCTATGATAAGTATGTGTTATTACAATCACAAAACAATACATCATTTGAAAAGAAAGCTATTCACCCTTGAAAGTTAACTGGGAGCTTGCCCTATATAACATAGAAAAGAATTATATATAATGGGTGGGTGTTGTGGCACAGTGGGTTAAGCTGCCACTTGGGATAGCTGCATCTCAAGTGGGAGGGCCAGTGTCAGTCCAGGCTACTGAGCTTCTGATTCAGCTCCTTGCTAAAGATCCTGGGTGGCAGCTGAAGATGGTGCAAGTTCTTGGGTCCTTACCATCCACGTGGGAGACCCAGATGGAGTTTCTGGCTTCTTGCTTGGACAAACAGGAGCCACCCGGAATTCTTCCCCAGCTCAAAAGTCTATGGAAGTATCAGGCTACTCTGCGAGCCCTGACAAGGTCTCAGGACGCTGAAATAACGCTGCCCCTCTGCTCACTGGTGAGCACTAAGGACACAGCTCTGAGACAGCGATGCCTCCTGTGCCCTCCATTTCTACCAGACCTGCACGGCACCAGCACACACTGAGGAAATCATGTCAGAGAGTCAGGCTTGTAAACCTCAAGGCACTCGCCTCTGGTTAGAACGTGGTCTTTTCCGAGCTTAGACTCTACAGCGGGGCGGGGTGCTGGGATTGACCCAACAGGTTGCTATTTGTAATCGCAAAGGGAGAACCCCCACGACCACCATATTCAACAGTTACAGCTACTGAATGTACAATGACACCAAATACCACCAGAGGAAGTTCAATGAGAGATCATTTAGCGTGAGCCGCTGCTTTCCCTGGAAGCTGACAAGACAAGATGGCGGAAGGGGCGCAGAAGACGACGCCGAACTTTTACAAGTTCATCTAGCGGGCGAGGACCGCCACCAGCTGCGGGACCTGCGCTAGCTGCAGCTCAAGCGGCTGTGCAGTGCCCGGCAGTGGCGCCACCTGAGCCTTGGCCTGAGGCTACGGAAGTGCCTGCCCAAGCCCAAGAAGGCGGCGCCCCGCGTGGAGAAGCCGTGGGTGGTGACCTGCGGGACGCGATCGTGGTGGGCAGCGTGGCGGGCGCCTACAACAGCAAGCCAGGTGGAAATCGAGCTGGAGGTGATCGGCCACGACCCGGGCCCCTTCTCCATCACCCACAAGCCTGTGAAGCATCGGGGCCGCCCACGCTCGCCGCCTCACCCCCTCTAGTGGCCTGCTCCGCCAAAAAAGGCGCGCACGTTTCAAAAACAAGGAGCTGCGCTGGCGGAAGGGGGTAAAACTCCCACTGAGAACACTGTGACATACCTCACCGGTGTTCTTGAAGCCTGGCTCTACGCTGGCTAGCAGTCTCACTCCTGCTTCCTGCCAACACCGAGACCTGAAGAGGAAAGAGATAGTGTTAAATACCTTCGTCAGGCACACAGACCACGCTCCTAAGGAGGAATTTGGCGTGAGGAGAAAGCCTTGACTCTGGAGCAACGGGAAAGCCTCCCGTCCACTACATACCCTGAGGAGCCACAAGCCTCACCCTAAAGGTGGTCGGACCTCCTAGCGCAAACCCACTGTGACGTAATCCATAGTGACGTGCGGTGACGTCACCCTGTACTGGGCGAGGTTCAGGCTGTGGTGAAAGCTACTGGTCAACCATTTCTGCTCCCCTGGACTCAAGTTAATGAATTCACTAACCTTAAACTGTACATCCACAGATCCGGAAACGTTCTCCAACTCCTAACGTAGCGATTCCAACCAGGGTTCCTAGCCAGGCCCTGGGTGTCAAGTGACAGTTTGGCTTAGTAGCTGTTAACGCTCACACAACCGCACCGAGCCCCTAAAGTGAGAGGCTCTTGTGAGGGTCTCTTATCATTTGTGAGGGACAAATTTTCAGGAAAAATCAGCAGGAAGCACAGGATAGTGCCTCTCATTGCGATTTTCACCCCCACTTCTCCACAGGCCCTCACTTCACCCGCTGCCCCCAGGTCTGTCCTCTGATGTTGCTGCATCAGCCAGTCCTTTGCTGCGTGTCCTGGCCGCAGGTGCAGCTCCACCCCAACCTTTCCCCGTCTCTGCCGAGTTCACTGCGTAGCATGAAGGGCTCTCGTGATACCTGAGTCCCAGGGGTCTTACTGTCTCAGGCTCCCACTCCAGAATAGGAACTCCGTGAGGGCAGGCAGTGTCTTTGTGTCTCTTGGCTGTACTTCCAGGGTTAAGAACACGTGAGGCACATAGTGGATGCTCAAAGCTATTTGTTGAGGGAATTGATGAAAGTCACCTTTGGCCAGCACACGTCACGCTCATGCCATTCTGCCAGGTGACTGCCCACAGTGCGGTGTCCTGTCAGAACGCCCTTTCACACAGTTACATTCTGACACGGAAGCGCCTAAAAAATGAGTACTTCCGCTCAACTAAGCTGTTCCACAATTCTGGAGACAAACAACACCTGACTCCCTCCCTACTGAACCAGCTCCACCAGTAATCGACATTTCACCACCAATTATGCTTGATTTGCTAGTTTTTGAGCTGGAGTATTTCAAATATCACATGACTTCATTCATGAATCCTAACCAGCTATACACTCCATAGAGTCTACTATATCACACACTGTAGCTGATAAGCACTTTAGAAAAAAGTACCAAAACACCATCATTGCATCTATCAAAAATTATGATTATTCTCTAATGGCACATGAACACACCTGTGTCCACATGCCTTATTTGAACAAAATAAACCTCTTAAACTTGACATGCTCTTATTAGGATCCAAAGAAATGTTATACACAGCATTGGTTCAAATATTTCTTATTCTTCTCTTAATCTAGAACAGCTCCCCTGTTTTTCTTCTCTGCTACTCCTTTGATGAGAGACCAGATTATGAGCTGTTTGTGCCAGTATCCACAGTCTGCATTTCCATGTAAGCATCCCTGCTGAAAAATGTTCCTTCATAAAGAGAATATGTGCACTTTGTCCTGTTCGGGCACAATGTTTGCGGCAAGAATGTCTGTGATACACACTCTGTGCTCTGGGAACTCACAGGATCGGTTTCACACACTTTTGATGAAAGATTGATCCGTGAGTTGCAGAATTCATACCTCGAGGCCTCCACATTATGGAATTTCCCATTCATCTTTTACCTAAACATTCCTAAATCAATGTACTGGTTTATTTTTATTGTGGATATAGAATTCAGTGTCGTGGCATTCACCATTTTAAAGTGTGCAATTCACCGGTTTTTAGCAGATTCACGAGATTGTGCATGCATTACCACAACGAGTTTTAGAACTCCTATCGGCCCCCATGAAGGCCATGTCTCTTAGCAGTCACTGCTCATTTCCCCTGCCAACCCTGGCGGCTACTGGTTCACCTGAGCTCTGCAAAGACTTGCCACTTCTGGACACTTGGTGTGAACGGACCATGCAGGTGCAGTCTTCCATGTCTAGTTTCTTGAACATACATCATGTTGTCAAGGTTAGTCCATGTCGCACCACGTGCCTGCACTCTGTAAGGGAGGAGAAGGAGGCGAGCCCACTCTGCCCATCATGGAGGTCAGAGGGTAACTTTATTCTGGGGCTGCTTAGGAGGCCTTTGTCCGGGGAGCCATTTCTGAGGCCAACAAGGTCACTCCTCGTGTGACTGAGCAACAGCTCGGTATGAATGTTCCATGTTTTGTCTAGACATTCATTCGTCAGTTGAGGGCTGGCTTCTCCCTGTGGGCTTTGTAAATGGTGTGGTGGCAGATGTTCAGGTACACATCTGTGGATCCCTGCCTGCAGTTCTCTCGGGTGTGTGTAGCAGTGGGCCTGCTGGGTCACGTGCTGATTGCATTTTTCAAGTGCAGTGCGAGTCCCAGCCTGTTTCTGCAGTGGTGGCATCACCTTACTATCCTACTAGCAGTGCGCGAGGCTTTCAATCTCTCTCTCTCTTTTTAAAAGATTTATTTATTTATTTGCAAGTCAGAGTTACACAGAGAGAGGAGATGCAGAGAGAGAGGTCCTCCATCCGCTGGTTCACTCCCCAGTTGGCCGCAATGGCCGGAGCTGTGCCAGGAGCCAGGAGCCAGGAGCCAGGAGCTTCCTCTGGGTCTCCCTCGTGGGTGTAGGGGCCCAAGGACTTGGGCTATCCTCTCCTGCTTTCCCAGGCCACAGCAGAGAGCTGGATTGGAAGCGGAGCAGCTGGGTCTCAAACTGGCACCCACATGGGATGCCAGCGCTTCCAGCCAGGGCATTAACCCGCTGCACCACAGGGGCGGCCCTGAGGCTTTCAATCTGCACATCCTCACCGCACTAGTTATTTTCCATTTTATGTATGCATGTATGTATGTATGTATTCGATGAGTTATTTATTCAAACACTGGCTTATTTATTTGAAAGGCAGAGTGACACACACACTCACACACACACACATAAGGAGAGAGAGTTTCTCTCTACTGATTCACTTCCCAAATGGCCAGAACAGCCGAGGCCAGGGGCCTGAACCTCCATCCAGGTCACCCATGTCGGTGACACAGATGGAAGTGCAAGTTCGTTGGCAGGAAGCTGGAGCAGCTGGGACTAACACCAGCACTGGGGAATGGGATGCTGGGGGCCCAAGTGGTGGCTTAACCAGCTGTGCCACAATGTCTGTCCTTGCATTTTGTGTTTATTCTGGCCATCCTAGTAACTGCGACCTGGAATTCCTGGTGATTTTGATCTGCACCTGCCTACACAACTAATGATACTGCGCATCCTGTCTCATGCTCATTTGTCATTTGCAGCCTGAGAGCCCCTCACCTGTGAATCTGGTGCCCCTCAGGTTCACACTGGCAAAGCCATTTAGCCTCTGTGGACCTGGGTTTTTGGCCACAGTGAGTATTTATTGAGTCTGTGTCTGTCCAGGGAGCAGGGACAGAAAACAGGCTTTGAGTAGGTTCCCTGTGAGGCGAATGGCCATTACCCCTAAAGTGAAAGCATAGAACAAGGAACCCAGACAGCCAGCTGAGATTCATAGCTCAGCGCTGTGTCTTCTGATCCCAGCTGGGAAGGCGCTGGCTGCTCTGTTCCCTTTGCACTGGGGCCAGGTGGGGAAGCTGTGGCAGAGCATGAACTCCTCCCTCCCACCAAATGAAGGCAGCTGGGACTCGGACGCTGTCCTGGGCAGCCCTGAAGTGCAATAGGGCAGCTGCCTGAGCATGAGAAAGCTCCGCAGGAGCCCATTTAGTCTGCTCCCCGTGCCTTGGGAATTCCACCCTCCTCTGGTCAAACAACCAGGGACAGGTGGAAAGAAAGGGCTGTGAGTTGGGGACCAGCAGGTGATCCTGGGGGGGGGGGCTGAGATTGTGAAGCTAGCTGGGGGTGGGGTGGATACAGGGCATTCTAGGAGTTGGGGGAGGGGACAGGGCATGCTGGGGAGTTGGGGGAGGGGCAGGGCATTCTGGGGAGTTGGGGGAGGGGGCAGTGCATTCTGGGGAGTTGGGGCAGGGGGCAGGGCATTCTGAGTTGGTAGCAGTGAGTGGCCAGTTGGCCTGTCCTGGGCTTGAGGCAGACACTGAGGGGTGTCCTTGATGAGGGGTTACACCACTGAGGGCCCTGGGCAGGGGTGGCTTCAGCTATTGCTGAAACACTCGTGTATTTGTGGTTTCTTAAACAGGACAGCCTTGTCAATGGAGAGAAGCAGGGTCCACAGGGACACCCTCACAGTGCATTGTTCAGCAAGCCGGCAGCCTGCAGCTCTCCCATGGGCCTAGGCGCCTACAGAGATTCCGTGAAAGGCTCTGGATTTGCAGCTCTCCCCGCCCCCACAGTCCTTAGGGAACAGGGGCTGGGCGGCTGCACCTCCGCCGAATCCTCCCGAGTGGCGTCATCACAGATGATCCGGCTTTACTGTATACCCCACAGGTGTCTCCACGCGGGGACCGACATCTTGCTAGAGGAGCGAGTTCCTTTCCTCATAAGGAAGGAGGGTAGCGCGGAGGGCAGCAGTCCGGCGGGCAGCCCTCCGAGTGGCTGGCTCTGTGGCGCTGGCCGGACTTGCAGCAGCCCCTGGACGGCCGCGGGAGAGGCGCTTCCCTGGAGTTCTTGGGTCAGAGGCGGGAGCTTGCGGGACCGCCTCTCCCCAGCGGAAGGAGCAAGGAAGACTCTGATACTCCCAGGCACGCAGCCCCGTTCCAAACTGCGCGTATTCCAGTTGTTACCCCTCAAGGCTTTGGCAAGTGCTGACCGGTCTGTTTTCCACGTTATTTTCCGTTCCCGTCACCGTTTGCGCCAAAGCAACTGGGGCCCGACTCGCACGGAAACCAGTAGGTTCCCACCCGCCGTTCCCAAGTCCCCCTCTCCCTGCCCCTTCAAGCCTTTGCCAAGGTCTTGAGTGTCCCACTCCTCCCCTGGGCGGAGCCGACGGCTCAGAACCCGGATTCTCTGCCCCGCCCCTCCCCCAAGATTTAGCCCCCACCCCCTCAGGGGAGCGGTGTAGAGCAAGTGTGGGGGAGGAGCAAGCGAGCGTCCTTTGCAGCAGGGGCGCTGTGGGGTGAATGGGGCCGCCGTGGACAGATGGCGGTGCGTCGTGCCTTTCTTTCTGGCGAGCGGCCTCAGCCAGGTGAGTCTACCGGCCTTGGCTTTCCTATCCTTTCTTCTCCCGGGTGAGGGAGGACGCCGACCCAGACTTGGGCGTGGGACAAACGGTGCTAGATGGGCGACCCAGCGCGGTGGTGGCTGCTGCTTTGCCGGCCTTGGTGTCCGGCGCGCATTGGCGGACTTGGCCTGGGATGGGGTGGGGGGACTGAAATTTTCCCGCCGCGGCGAACTCGCGCTCTGACCGGCAAGTGCAGGGAGCGCCCTGCCCAGATAAAGCCCTGAGGCCTTCCGCGTCCGTGGCCACAGGGCGAGAGGGGGCCCCAGCGGATCCTTGGCCCCACTCGGCTTCTCCCATCACGTGGCTGCAGAGGGTTTGTGGCTCGGCGGATTTGGATTGAATCATGCCACCCTTCCCACAGGAGCTGGGCCCTCCTGAATTTAGCCTCAGCCACGGAACATTTCCTTTAATGAAGGTTTGACCTCCAAGCAATACAGCTGCTTTTCCACCCGTGCATTTACGGTTTCGAAATGCAGGACCCAAAATTTTCAGGGGGCTCTTAGTTCTCGTTTTTAAAAATTATTGAGTAAGGCCGGCGCCGCGGCTCACTAGGCTAATCCTCCGCCTGCAGCGCTGGTACACGGGGTTCTAGTCCCGGTCGGGGCGCCGGATTCTGTCCTGGTCGCCCCTCTTCCTGTCCAGCTCTCTGCTGTGGCCCGGGAGTGCAGTGGAGGATGGCCCAAGTGCTTGGGCCCTGCACCCGCGTGGGAGACCAGGAGAAGCACCTGGCTCCTGGCTTTGGATCAGCGCGGTGCGCCAGCCGCAGCGGCCATTGAAGGGTGAACCAACGGAAAAGGAAGACCTTTCTCTCTCTCTCTCTCTCTCTCACTCTCACTGTCCACTCTGCCTGTCAAAAAATAAAAAATATTGAGGAGACTGGGGTCTTGTATTGTGAGGCACTAGCACCCCCTTCCCCCCAAGCCCTGTGCTTTTGCAAAGGTAGGGAGAGCCTACAGGGCTTCCCCATTGATGGGCCTGGAAGCACTTCCTGTTGGCCAGAGGAAGAGCCTGGGCTGCGGAAGAGGCTGCTCCTCTGATTTCTTCCCCCCACTCGGGTTCGCCCACCCATATGGCCACAAACAAATTCTGAGACTATGTATAGTACAAACATTGGTCCTACTGAAGAGAAATTCACTCAGCTCATGGAGTAGTAAAAGGAGGTCCTTCTGGCGCCGGCTTCATTTCAAATGTCCTGGGGACACGATGTGTGCGTTCCTCATCCTAAAACGTGGATGACGTTGATTGTCTTGAGCAGAATATGCTACACTTTGTGTATACTCAGTTTGGCAAGTGTCTTTAGTTGCTGGGACTTTAAGAATGTTTCTTAAGCACAGAAATAGTGCTTAAGCCTGCAGTGAGTCTTTGTTAATGAAAAGAAAGAATATCATTGACTATCTTATGACTAAATAGGAAATCAATTTTTGTCATATTGCTTTGTACTTGGGGAGGTGTCAATCTGGTTTTTCTATGAAAGTGAAAAGCTAACTTTTAATGGATATCAACTTTTGATACTAGGGAGGTTTTGTGGTATTAAAAATTAGAGAAAAGTACAACAAATTTAACTTAAATGGAATTTAAGGAAGAAATGTGGAACTAGCAATGTGGAATAATTGTTGGGCTGCTTTGGCTAGCTCACTAAAAATAACCAATTAAACATTTTCAGTGAAATTTTACTTAAATAGAGGTAGCAGGTCAATGTTACAATGGGACAAGGAAGCACAACTGAGTATGCAATGAAAATAATATACTTGATTTCATGGTGAAAACCTTATCTCCAAATATAGAAATAATCACTTCTGCGGGCCTTTTGTTAAGTGAAATTGTGAATAACTGAAGATATGTTGCTGTGAAAACAAATTGTAGTACCATAGTATGAATCCTGGATATTAAGTATGATTTGTTGAATTAAGTTATAAAGTTGAACGTGGGATAAGAAGTCATGTGTTTGGGAGGGAGAAAATATGAATGTAAGGCAGTTGACCCTGGAGCAGCTGAGATCTCTAACTGGTACAGTTGAGGTCCCGGGTTATGTGCAGTTTCTATTTTTAGAAGGTAACTAAGAAATAAAATGCTGTGGCTTGCATTTAGCCTAGTGATTAAGACACCTGCAGGAAATACCTGAGTTCAGTATGGGGCTCAACCTCTGATTCCAGCTTCCTGCTTAAGGAGGCCCTGGGAGGAGGAATGATGGCTCAAGTAATCGGGTTCCTGCCCCCCACCAGGAGGCCTGGGCTGACTTTCTGGCTCTTGGCTGACCTCCCAATGCCTCACTGTAGTTGTTTTAGGAATTTAGGGAGCGTAGCGGAGGTCGGGGGTGTTTGCTCTGTCTTCCTGTTTCTCTGCTTCTTAAATAAATGAAAGTTATTTTTTTTTAATTACAATGCCAAGAGCCTACAAGGCATACAAAGCAGATTTTAAAATACAGTAGAAAGAAATGAAAACCATGTTCTAAGAGCTTTTTTAAACTCAGTGTCCACACCCAAAAGAAAATAAAAGCACCCATAACCATGTGGACTAACAAAAAAATAAATGTCATTGGAATCGGCTCTTCTCCCCACTGAGGTATAAAATCTGTATAGCAATTTGAACATGTACTATTTATAAGAAACTGTGCTTCTCATAGTTGTGTTTTCTTTTAAACTGTGTTTAATATGGTTTTTATTGTAAAAATCACACAATTTTTAGTTTGGTTCCGGTTCTTTCATACCAGTATTTAAGTTACTGGCTACCAGTACTGATCAGGAAAAAATGTTTATCTTAATTATACCGCAATCAAAAGAAATTACTGATACATGAGCAAAACATAAAAATTAGTGATTCTTTGATTAAAAACATCAGTGTGCTCAGTCTCTTTATTATGCAATTTCACACCTTGGACCGGAAAGCTGGTTCACAATGGGTGAAAGGAACCTTAAGTTTAAGTGCATCCCATATGGAAATGCCCAGTTTGAGTCCCAGGTCCTCAGTTTCTAATCCAGCTTCCTGCTATCTTACCCCCTGGGAGGCAGCAGCTGATGGCTCAAGTGCTTCAGCCAGGCTTGGCATTTGGAGAGTGAACCAGCAGATAAGAGATCTTCCCCTGTCAGGTGCTCTGTTTCTGCCTTTCAAATAAATGGGAAACGTGGGAGTATTCGCCGTGGCAATTAAAATGCTGCTTGGATGCCCATATCTCCTATCAGAAAGCTTGGGTTCCAGTGCCAGCCTCTCTGCTGATTCCAGCTTCCTGCTAAGGCGCACTCTGGCAGGTAGCAGATAATGGATCGAGTGATTGAATTCCTGCCACCCACGGAAGACCTGCATTGTACTCCAGTTTCCAGTTTCAGCCTGGCGCTGTCTTGGCTGTTAAGGGCATTTGAGGGCAGTGAAAACAAAAGATCCTGGCATCATCTATCAGAGCAGTTTTTTTCTACCAGGTTTCTCCATGAGCAATTAATGATGCTATGGGCAGTTCACGGCACAGTGCCCGGAGACTTGCTCTGGCGAAAAGTCACCACACATTGGAGGAAGATTATCTAGATACACTTTTGTTTTACACCCTTCTGGCATCTGGTAAAGACCTGTGGAGTGTAATGGTGTCACTCTGTTAAATTGAACTGATCGATTTTACTTTGTTTTGGCTCTGTGATCTCTGTCATCTTTCCTTGATCTCTTTGGGAAGGAGGACTGGTTTCGCTGTTTCTCTGGGACCATCCTGAGCCTTGTGTACTGGCTCTAGGACATCCTCAGCAGGAATCGCTCAGCCTTTTGTTTTTGTGCACTAAAGTGAGACAGCATATCCAGGATGTGTCTATGACTACGTTCAAATATGCCAAATGTATTTTGATGCAAGATTTTAAAATATATACACATGTATATATGGCACAAATATAAAAGGCCATGAGAAATACTCTGTTCTGGCCAGTTGTGGTGCAGGCTGCTGTGTGACCACTAAGTGTTAAACAGGCCACAGTCCCCACACCCCCTCCTAAGCCAATGTTAGCATCTCCCTGCTGCCCCACAGGCCGCTAGGGTGGGATTGGCCTGTGCTCAACAGTCACATAGTTATTTTCTGTATCTGTGATGCAGAAACATCTGAGGTCCGAAATGGCCATGATTAACGAAAGAAACCCTTTTTCACTTGAAAGACCAAGCAGAGGGACCCAGCCAAAGATTTTCCATTTACTGGTTTATTCCCCAAATGCAAACAACAGCCAGGACTGGGTCAGGTTGAAGCCAGGAGCCTGGAACTCAATCTGAGTCTCTGACATGCATGGCAGGGACCCAAGTACTAGAGCTCCCAGGGTCTCCATTATCAGGAAGCTGAAATTAAAAGTGCAGCTGGGACACTAACATAGGTACTCCCAAGCAGTGTCCTAACTGCTGTACCAAATATCCACTGCAATAGTGCAGCTTTCCAAAGAGAATTTCAGATATCAGATTGTATATGTGAGGATAATAATACAAAATATATTTCATTAGAACAAATTATATGTAGACATAGTACAGCCACAATGTGAAACAGGAGCTCCCCCAGAAAGCTAAAAATCTGTCTGCCTTGTGACCCAGCTGTTCCACTTCTGGGACTATATCTAAGGAAAATCAGCATATCAAAGAGATAATACTTGCATCCCAGATAGCCAAGGTATCTTATCTTTGGACTTATCTTTGCTAAGCATCCTTGGATGGATGAATGGATAAAGAAAATTGTAGGGCTGGCACTGTGTCACAAAGGGTTAAGCTGCCACCTCTGTCTACAGTGCCAGCATCCAATATGGGTGCTGGTTTGAGACCCAGCTGCTTCATAAAATGTATATGTATTTCATATTAACCAAACATTTTTAAAAATTACAAATTATCTCAGTAATTTTATATGGATTACATGTTGAAATACTTTGGATATTGGGTTAAATCAAGTATTAATATAAAAAATCTAGCAACATTATATATAGACAAATATTCAAAAGAAATGCAGTTATGCTATTTATTTCTAGGTGACTGTGTTAAGAGTGTGTGCTTGTGTTTGTGTTCCTGTGTGTGCTTGTATACTAGATTCTGTGGATTTGATGGTAGAAGAGGGCGATCATGATGGACTAGTCAGGGAATTTCATACAGGAAAGTGTGCTGTGTTCACTTTAGGATTATAATTATTTTAAAGGTAGAAGGGACAATGTTGTCTGGCACTAGACCCCTATGATCTCATATGACCTGTGAGATGGTATTTGGTGCTCTGCATGTGTAGGAAAAATTCTAGAAAGAAAATAACTGTTCTGACTTGGGACCACTTGAAAGGATCCAGACCCATGATATCATGAAATGGCAGGTAATATGAGTGTCTTGGATGGGCAGGTCATGGTTGGAAACTCATGGTAGGTGAGACATTATAGTGCGTTAATTCACGTTTTGAGTTCTCTGCTTGGGCAGCTAGCCGAGCCAGGTGGGCCTGTTGGTTACCATGACATCAGTTGCCATAGAGGCATATGGCTGAGGAGCAAAGGCATAAAGGCGTGGAAATTTGATAAATTTCACTTCTCAGTCTCATCTTCCTATCACCCATGCAAGAGCCAGAGCGGCCAGCTTATGGTTGGCAGCCCACAGTAGACACCAGGTAGTCTGGTGGCACCCGGGAGGCTCGTATCTCCCCTTGTCCAGGCTCAAGGGCAACATAGGACTTGTGCTTCAGCTGCATAGTACTGTGGCATCTGGAAAACCTCATACAAGCCATCTTTGGTGTTGGCTAAGTCATGATGTGCCCATCTTCTGTGTGCGTAGGTTCCTGCTCTGTGCAGGCTGCCTCTGTGTGGACATGCGAAGGTGTTTCTTCTTGGCCCCTAGGTTCATGAGAACATTGGAGCAGAACTCCTTTGCTCAGGATAGTTGTTCAGCAAGTACAGAGTGTCCATGAGAGAGCACATAAGGAAGATGGCATAGTGTGAGTAGGCGAGGAGCCACAGGTGTTCTCATCTCCTGATCTGGGGTTGACAGCACCATGTCCCCCTCCTGATCATTGACCGCAGTGTCAGACACCTCATTCTCAAACCTGGTGCGCATGTCCTCCTCATTATTAAACATGAGTTGCTGGTCTGCTGGCATGTGTTGCTGCACACGTGGTTGCTCGTAGTGCCAGCTGCTTGAGGACAGTCACTGTGGGGTTGCTGGGCCAACCCCACAGGAGTGGCCTGTCTGCCATTTTTCTAGTCACTCTCTTCTCTGGGAGGCAGAGGTCACTAGAATGTAAGAGGCAGAGAAGGAGCACAAGGAAGTGGTGAGTATAACTGTCTGCTAACTAGTCACTTACCTAAATCAGGATTCCGTGCTTCCCACGCAGCCTGGAGCATAGAGGACTTTTTTTTTCCTTCACCTTTCAAAGGAAAAGCTCTCAGACCCTAGAGAGAGAGGGGCTCTTCTGAGTTATAAGATATACTTATTTACAGTTCTTTGCCTGCTGAGAAAAGAGGGTTAGGGGTCTATCATCAAGGACGTGTTGGCTGCAAAATCAGACTTTGTTCTCAGCTGTGAGCATCTTCTGGTAGGCACTATGTATATGTGTAGGGGAGTGGGTGGGGAGAGGGGACTGGGTCATCCTAGAGACCGAGCCTTAAGCTGCCAAAAGCTATGCTAGAGTTTGGAAAGTTTCTTACTGTGTAAGTTTGAACTGGGTTTTCTGTCTTTCTGTTTTGTCTTTCTTTCCTTCCTTTTGATTGATTTATTTGAAAGGCAAAGTTAGGGAGACATAGAACTTCCATCTACTGGTTCACTCCCCATATGGCTGCAACAGCTGGGGCTGGACCAGGTTGAAGCCAGGAGCTTCTTCCATGTCTTCCACATGGGTGCAGGGGCCCAAGCACTTGGTCCATCCTCCGCTGGTTTCCCAGGCACATTGGCCGGGAGCTGGATTGGAATTGGAGCAGTCAGAACATGAATCAATGCCTATATGGGATATTGGTGTGGTAGATGGTGGCTTAACCCACTATGTCACAACACCAGCCTCTAGGTTTTCTTTTATAAAATGTATTTGCAAGTAGTAGAGACACAGAAAGAGAGAAACACACATGTAAAAAGAGACCTCAGGGCTGGCACTGTGATATAGTAGGTTAAACCTCTGCCTATGGCACTGGCATCCCATATGGGTGCCAGATCGAGTTTTGGCTGTTCCACTTGTGATCCAACTCTCTGCTAATAGCTTGGGAAAGCAATGGAAGATGGCCCAAGTGCTTGGCCTTTTGCACCCACATGTTAGACCCAAAGAAGTTCCTGGCTTTTGGCTTCGGATCAGCTCAGTTCTAGCTGTTGTGGCCATTTGGAGAGTGAACTAGTGGATGGAAGATCTCTCTCCTTTTCTCTGTAACTCTGCCTCTCAAATTAATTAATTAATTAAAAAAGACCTTCCGTCTGTTAGATCCTCTCCAAATACTTGCAATACACTGGGCTAGGCAAGGCTGAAGCTGGGAGCCAGAAACTCAATCCAGGTTTCCCACATAGGAGGATTGAATTAACAAACTAGAGCCATCACTCCTGCATCCAAGGGTTTGTGTTAGTAGGAAGCTAGTTTGTAGAAGGAGCTGGTTATTGAACCCACATAGTCTGATATAAGATGTGGGAGTTGTAAACACCATTGTAACATATGGGCAAAAAACCCACCCCTGGGATGAGAGTTTATATACCAAAAGTTCTGAAGTCTTGGGGTGGGCATTAGACATAATGGTTAAGCCAATTGGAAAACCTGCATCTGCTATTGTGGCAGTTTTGGTTTAAGTACCACCTCTACTCCCAATGCCAGATTCCTGGTAATACAGAAACTCCCTGGCAACATTAAAAAGACATGAGAGAAGCCAGGAGAAAACCACTATAGGTATGGAATCCCAAACACAGGCCGTGGGGACTGGGCCCGGGGCAGGACAGGGAGTCAAGGGGCCCTGTGGTTTCCAGTGAGATGGTCCCCCTGGGGTGTGTGGCACATGCCCTTGTGGACAGTTCTGTTGGGAATGCATTAGTTTGTTGTATGGCCTCAGCAGAGGCAGTCGACTGGTGTGCAAAGGGCTCTTGCCATCCGGAGGACCTGTCCAGAGAAGAGCAGTCTAAGGTGAGAGGTAAGGCACAAGGAGCACAGGGCCGGCTGGTTGGCTGACATTGGCAGAGGAGTGTCCACATGCGCTCTGGGACACACGAGGCTTCACCAGCAGGTGGCGCACGGGTGTTCGTGCAGGCTTGAGCCAAGAGTCCTTGAGAGTGGGGCTGTGCCGGGGACCAGGGCTGTGTGTGTGTGTGTGTGTGTGTGTGTGTGTGTAAGAGAGAGACAGAAGGGACTACACTCCCGTGGGAGGTCTGCAAAGGGCCCTCTCTGCAGGGGAGTGTCTGTTTCCTGCCCACTGCCCTGCCTGCCTGCTCCCCATGTGCCAGGGTGCAATGGGCCACCCTGGAACTCCTGGGCAAGCTGGCATCACAGGGCTTGGTGACAACATCCAAGTGCAACTGTTGTGGTGTGGGCTTGGTTCTGAGCCCATGGGGCCCTTGCCTGGATCCCCGAGGGCTGAAGCCCAGTGTGGTGCCATGGTGCAACCCAGCTAGGTGCAGGTGCCCTCCCCCTGCTGGGGGTGCCTCAGGAGTGTCCATTGTATGCTGGTCCTGAGGCAGCCCAGGATCAGTGTGCTGAGGCTAGGCTGCATGGGCACGGGGATGGGGCTGCATCCAGGGCTGTGCAGTAGCTCCTCCTACCCCGCTCAGAGCCAGGCAGAGCCGCCCTGCTGGGTAGTGGCCATGCTGGGCACCCACTGGACAGCGCCGGGCATTTTTTGCTGTGCAAAGGGCTGAGGGAGAACTTGCAGGGGACCAGAGCAGGTGGCATTTATGGTGCAATACTGCCATCAAAAGGAAGCAGGTTGTGAATCCCGCCAACCATTCTGGCTGTGCGCCTGCTCAGGGCTGGCTTGGCAGGGAAGTGAGAGTGCAAGTGGGTCCTGGAGTTGGACTCTGGCAGGGCTCAGAGCCCTTGAGGCCAAGTGGAAGGTTGGTCTACATGCTATAGGTGCTGTGGAGGCCCTGGACACAGGCAGGCATAGGGCTGAGCTCCAGGGTATCTGGTGGCCTGGCCCAGCAAATCAAGGGCTAGATATCTTGGTGGTGGCCATGTCTAGCCAGCCTAGTGCAAACCTCAGTCCTGAAGCCCTGAGAAGGAGCTGTGGGTATTTTGTTCCCCTGTCTTAGGAGTAAAGTGAGGAGCCACCCTGTCTAGACTGAGTTCCGTGGAAGGCTGTCCAGATCCAAGGGGGCTTGCAGAGGGACAGTGGGCTGCGTGAGCACTAATGGGGACTGGGGTATTTTCCTTCTTCCTTCTACTTTCAGGGGTGATCGGTTCAGCTGCCTACCGCATCCCATGAGGACCCCCGTCCCTGCAGGAACACCTACACTGTGCAGAGGGGAAAGGCCCGCAGCAGCGCTAACAGGTAAACCAGCACCTGCTAAACTGAAAGTGATCCATTTTCTGTGCTGAAGAAGCCATGAAAGGCCATTCCCAGGATTTGCATTTACTCTTGAGACCCAGAATTTCATGAAGGGAAGGGAGAGTAAAGCACACAAACTAGTAAATGATAGTCAGGAACTTCTCCATCCACTTAAGTCAAGAGACCCAGTGTCCCAAAGAAACTTCAGTTCCAGGTTGCAAAACATGGCAGTCACTAAGGACAGGCCTCAGGTGCTTCTGCAACCTGAGAGGCCCTGCCACTCAGCATTCATTGTTGTAGGAGCCCAGCTCTCTGATTCTCAAAATAATTGTGGTTGTGCCTGCTGCCAGCCCTGAACTCAAGTTTCCTAATTTCAGAAACCTTCCACATGCGTTGTATGTATGGACTGGGGCTATTCTGAAACAGCTTCCGCTGGATGGCGCTGTTGCTCCAGAAACGTAATCATCCTGTCTTCCCCATCTCTCCCTCCACCTTTTTGTGGTTAAAAAAAATCATGCGATGCTGCAAATACAGAAACCTAAGAATTAATATTTCCTGTGTTCAGGTGCCTAGGCCAGTGCTGCCTAGGCTTTCTCTCTGGCAATGTCAGCGGGATGACAAGAAACAGAATTATATGTATCTGTGGATGCATCATCACCTTATGGGTTGTTGGTGAGAATATCCTCTTAACCAATCCTCACTTCCTAGGCACACTTGTGGAGTTTATACTCGCCTCCCTGGGTCCTATTCTCTTCACCAGGATCCTGCTGGTAGGAGCAGATAAGTCAGAGCTTCACAGGAATGAGCCGGAATTTCCCTTCTTGTTCTTGGCTCATTTCCTCTCCTCACTCTTTTTGACCCCAACCCAGAGAGCGCCCAGAGGCAAGTACTCTAGCCAGAACTTTCATGCTCTTAAGGTCCCTAGTGGGAGTGGGCATTGTGGGGGCATCAGGAGTTGACAGTGAGAGTAGTGCCCTGGCTCACCTCCAGGTATCTGTGTGTGGTAGGTACTGGATACCGAGTTTCCCAGGTTCCCACCCATGGCCCAGGTGGATGAGCCATGCTCCAGCAGGCGTCTGACCTTTGTTGGGTCCTGTGGCTTTCCAGCTGTTTCCCTAAGCTCTTTGTGAAAGTAAGGGTGTTTCTCCCCTTACCCCCCAATGCCCTGTTCTTCATTATTTCAAACATGCACACATACCTACTTTCTTCCATACTTATTCTCTCTTGCACCAGTGTGTATGCTTTGCCCTCTTTTTTTTTTTCCCCTTATCCACATTGAGGTAGCAAATGTTGATGTAGATTACTGCCAGTTACCAGGATATCCTAACTATATATTTGCTGCATATCCTGTGTTGGGAATTGTGCAGTGATTGACCCTGTTTCAGGTTCTGGAAGGGCAGGTGGATGTCTGTGCCACAGCACCCCCCCTCCCCTCCTGACAGGCCCACGTGTGGGACCCTTGTCATCTGAAGCCCAGGGCCTGTCGTGATAGAGGAACCAGGTGCTCAGACTTGTCTTTGGGCTTTCATCCTCTTTCCCCATGTCTGTCCTTATGCATCTGCAACCTCCCTCTTTGTGTCTGTCTGTTCTGGACATGTTGGTCCTGCTGGCCTTCCGATCTTTTTTTTTTTTTTTTAAGATTTATTTATTTGAAAGTCAGAGTTACACAGAGAGAGGAGAGGCAGAGAGAGAGAGAGAGAGAGAGAGAGAGAGAGAGAGAGTCTTCCATCCAATGGTTCACTTTGCAACTGGCCGCAAGGGCTGGAGCTGTACTAATCCAAAGCCAGGAGCCAGGAGCTTCTTCCGAGTCTCCCACGCAGGTGCAGGGGCCTAATTACTTGAGCCATCTCCTACTGCTTTCCCAGGCCATAGCAGAGAGCTGGATCGGAAGCGGAGCAGCCTGGTCTTGAACTGGCGCCCATTAGGGATGCTGGCACTTCAGGTTGGGGCGTTAACTCATTGCGCCACGGCGCCGGCCTCCGGCATTCCGATCTTGAGAATGCCTAAGTTAGAGTGTTCCCAAATTGGAGGTAGGTGGTTTGAACCCTGGATCAGGAGGTAGGTAGATGGATTGCTGTGGCTTTTGTGGCCCCTCCTGAGTCAGGGGGAAATCCCAGGTTATGCATCCATGGTCAGGAGGAGGGCAGAGTGGTTCTACACGTGGAGGTGACCTTGTCTAGGACCAGGAGGTTTGCGTTACCTTGCTGAGCTCCTAATGCCATTGTGGCTGTGCCCTCCATTCACTGCTCCCCCTGGCTCATCATTCCACCTGCACGTGCACCAACTTGCTCACCTCCCAACTTACTGAGCCGTGTGTGCATGCAGCTACTGGTCCCCTGCCTTTTAGCTTCCCCCACATCTGCCTGAGATCCACTGTGGATAAAGATACCTCCTAGTCCATGTACTAGTGCCAGTGTGTGTTTCCCTCTGCCACCATCTGGGAGTTCACAGGCAATGACCCTGGGTCAAGTGCAAGGACAGGGGGTGTCTGGCGTGGCACCTGGCTCCTGTCCTGACTGGCCATCTGAAGGCCAGGGAGAGCCCTGGGAGTGGAGCAGGCACTGTGGTTTGTGGCCTGGGTGGCAGTGAGGCCTCCGTTTGTGTTCCTGGACAGCAGCGCTGAGTCCCTCAGCTTCCAAGCTGGCTGCCCAAGACTGTCACAGTGGCCTGTCAATGACTCAGAGCATCTGCCTCCCTGGCACCTGTTGGACAAGCCGGCAGTGTGGACCCAGTGACTAGGTCCCATGCAGACTGATGCTGAGTGAGCTGCAATCCTGGCCTTTGATCCCCTTGAAGGAATGTCCAGTGGAAGGAAGCAGCATGGTAGGCACACATGTGCTCCACAGATGGCGTGCCGGAAGGGCAGCACCTACTGCTGGTCCCTAGGGCAGCCCAGGAGCCCCTGCTGAGGCCAGGCTGCACAGGCCTGGGGAAGGGGCTGCCCCCAGGGCTCTGCACTAGCTGTTCCTGCTCCTTTCAGAGGGAGGTGGAGCAGCCATGCTGGGCATTTTTTTCCTGCACAAGGGGTGGAGGGAGGACTCCAGAGGGGCAGGGAAGGGGCATTTGCAGTACAATACTGCCATCAAGAGGAAGTCGTTTGCAGATCTCACATGCCCTCAGACTTGGCGCCTGCGCAGGACTGGCTTGACAGGGAAGTGAAGGGGCAGTTGGGTCTTGGGCCGCGCACTGAGAGGGCTCAGATCCCTTGGAGGCCCAGGCCAGGTTGTCCTCCCCAGGTCGTGGGGGCTGTGGAGGCCTGAGACAGGGGCAGGGCCAGCGAGACAGGGGCAGGGCCAGTGCGCTGAGCTCCAAGTGAGCATGGCGCTTGTGGCCCAGCCCTGGTGGCGGCCATGTCTGGGCGGGGCTAGAGGAAGTCTGCTCAGCTAAGACCCTGGTGGGTCCAGGGCAGCACCATTTGCCTCCTGCTCCAACCCCTAGGAGCCGCGGAGCAGTTGTGTTAGGTGAGCTCAGACCCGGAAAGGATTCCTTCAGCCTTGAAACTATATCCTAAAACACCACGAACTTGTCTGGTTTCAAAATTGCTTGTAGCAGAGAAGGAAGTTCGTTTTCATTCCTCTGTTCTTGGGTCACAGAAGTGACACTCAGCCTTGCTGTGAACTCCCATGAGGTCCCCAGTTGCAGCAGCAGTGTAGAACTCCTGATGTCAATGGTCCTTAGGAGGTGCAGCTGGGATTAAGGGGGGGGGGGCCCTTGGGAGGGGATCTGATGCATTAAAATGTGGGAGGAGCCTGCAGAGACAGTGACCAGGGATGGATCTCACCTCTGAGTACCTGCATTTCTTTGAGGGGAGTGGGCTGAAAATACACAGGAACTCAGCAGAAATGGGCTGAGATGCTTCCTGATTCTCAAAAAATCACAAGTTCTCTATCTGCTACATCCAGAGGCCACATGCCCAGAGGAAGCCTTAGTGTAGAATAAGTTGGTCACTTGGTATTGCCCTCCTCTACCTCCACACCCTGGCTGTCCTCGATACCCAGGTTCTATGAATGTGACACTCTGCTGCCATCCATATGATACCCGCTGAGGAGCGGTAGACCAGATCACTTAGAGGACCCGCTGAGTGCCTCCAACCCACCATTGCAAAACAAACCACCCTGTACAAATCATGATTGCCTGATTAATGTGTTACTTTGGACATGCCACCTGCCCCGTCCCTCCCCACCTCTGCCTCCACCTTTTGTGCATGAAAGTACAAGTGTAAGGCCCTAAATCCCTTAGGCCTTACAAGCAGTGTTTGCTGTATTGGGGTCCTAAGGGAACTAACTCATTTCCACACTTTGCTTTCCTTGCGATGTTTATGTGTACAAAACAACAAGATATGTCTGCACTTCATATGTCAGCTTTCATGTGTGTTTTAGGCTCTGTAATCGGGTCATCCGTTTGCTGGGTTTGTGGGCCCACTGGGGAAGTTTATAAAGACCTGGGAAGGTCTGCTCTTCTGAGGCAGAGTTGAGCTTTCCTGGGGATCCTGGATCCTAACTTCATGTAGTGTGAGTTCCAGGATTTCCTCTCTTATTTCCTCAATTCCTCTCTCTTATGCCTTTGCAGCTCATCCTGGAGAGAGGACAATTTGACTTTCCGAGCCAACATCTCTTCTAGGTAAGAGTACCTAGGAGCAGGCCTGGGTAAGAAGCAAGGCATTGTGGGGGCAGCACGAAGTGACAGGGCCCACCTCAGATGGGAAGACAGGGAGAACGATGCCCTGGCTCACCTCCCTGGGTCCAAGGTCATCACTCCCTAAGGAGGGTCCAGGTTGTGGCTCCATGGAGTGGAGGAGGCCAGAGTGGATGCACACATGGAAGTGATCTTGTCCAGGGACAGAGGGTTTGCATGGCCTTCCAGGTGTCTCCAAATGGAAGAATGGGTGTGTGCTCCATTCGGCCCCACCCCTGCTCTGACTGAGTCTCACCTGCCTGTGCAGATACCTTCTCACCTTCCATCTTTCCCAACCTTGTGTGCCTACGTGTACTATTCCTTTCTTT